TATCAGGAATTCACCTCGTTCGTTTTCACTTGAGTTAGAGGCTTTATAGTGTGAGGTGACGTCACAATTCTGAATGAGATCACTCTCCTCATTTACATACTTATCTGTAACATTAAATTTTTCTTGTTTATCTGGCAGATTATTTTCCGACAATACTTCGCTAACCTTTTACATTATTCTTTTTAACAATTATCGGGATGCTTTATTCTTTTAAGGTTTAGCGATTCCTAACTGGGTTGTGGGGTCTTCCCCCCCTTTTTCTCGGTGCGGACTTACTTTTTTCCACTTGGGAAGCGCAAGTGTGCGCGAGTTTTCTACGGCGCTTTTCTTTCGTTGGTGAGTTGGTTTTTCTTCTATTTTTAAGTTATTAGTAACTTAAGGTGAATGGTGAATGGTGAGTGAATTAAGGTGAATGGTGAGGAACTTCGTCCTAACAAAACATAAGCCCCAAACAAAAATAGAATAATAAGCAAAATAAAAGTAAATAAAAATAACGTTCGGATTTGGTTCCTTACACCATGAAGTCTTTTGGATGTTAAGGTTAGCAACATTGATCACTTTCATGGCTAGCACAACCCATCCAACATGGATTACTTACCAAATATTAATAGTAGACCAGCATTAATAAGTAGTCGTTGACTACTTATTAATGCTTTTGGTTGAATTAACTTCGACACCCTTCTGCAACAATTCCTTCTTTCTATTGTATCAGCAGTATGGTGGCATTTGAGTAGGAAAATTACATAATATAAGGTTATCAGCCAGCACAAAATATGATTTAAGTTGTTTTCAAGGATGCTGAATTTTAATATTTGGTCTTTTTTTTCCAAAATTTGATTCATTGGCAGATTACCATTTCATATTTGGCTGTGAATGGTACAGCTTCTTAGTTAACATTAGAAAGCATTACAATAATTGAAAAATTTAAGATATATTTTTAATTCCTGTTTACTTGACCATTGAATTTGTGCCATTTTGTACCATTCGAATATCATGATAAACGTGACATTGGTAGGCTGAAATAACCAAACTCTTTATATGGTTTTCGTTTTAATGTTTATTATATTATAGCATTTGATTTATATAATTACAAAGATCTAATGTAAGGGTTTATCACTCAAGTGACCAATCTTTTATGTAAGGATTTATCAAATACTACAATATAATACGCTGGCAGAAATTGAAAGTATTACACCCAGACGGAATTGGTGGAATTTCATGAAATTTAGTAAACATGTACTGGGGCATACCCAGAAGAAATTATCACAAAATGAAATGGATTACGCAAAGTGTTACTGCTGTACATGTTTCAGTAAGAAGTATGTCCACTTTGAGCATGGATACACTCTTGGATACTTGCATACATTATATCAATAAAGTGTTTGAATGTCTTGTGGGGTATATCTCTCCATGCCTGCACAACTTGTGCAGTCAGTTGTTGTACAGTGCATGCTGGATGCTATGAGATGTGATCCGTCTATCCATGACATCCCAGACATGCTCTTTAAAGGATAAATCTGGGGACCAGGTGGTCCAATCCATGATTGCAACACTTTGCAAGGCCTGTCTTGTGGTGGCAGCAGCATGAGGATGAGCATTGTTCTGTTGGAGGATACTGTTTTGGATGGTGTTTATGAAAGGTATGACTACTGGATGAATTACCCTGTCCACATACTGGCGGGCAGTCGTTGTGCTTTCAACAATCACCAACTCTGTCCTGCTGTCATAACTGATTGTCCCCAAATCATGACTCTAGGAGTTGGACCTGAGTGGCACTTTGAAATCACAGCAGGGTGGGCTCTTTCTCCAACACACCAGTGGACATGTTGCCGACTATCACATTGGCCTAGACAGAATTGGGATTCATCACTAAACATAACTATATGTTATTCATGTGTTCAGTTATGTGTAGCAGCATGCCATGTTAGCCATTGTTGGCGATGAAATTTGTCTAAGGGAACACATTGCATGGGGGGGTCTGAGATTGCAACCCAATATCAAGTAATCAATTTTCAATTGTCTGTGGGGTGACTCTGGTTGTAACTACTGCTCAGATTTGTGCTGCTGTTGCCCATTTGTCAGCAACTGCCATTCGCAGAATATGGCAGTCTTCATGTGTCATTGTCCTTCTGCATGGACCTGTGCCAGGTCTGCTAGTACTGACCCTTTCTGCATCCACTGTGTGACCATTCTTTGTACTGACATTGCACTACAGCCAGTCCTTTGGGCAATTTCACAATATGATGTACTCATTTCTGACATTCCAATTATCTGACTTTTTTCAAAGTCAAACATTTGGATGTATGGAGTTCTCACTTGTCAATATGGCATAGCTGTGGTCACCAACAACCTGTGGACCAAAAAGAGACATGTTCCATAACACAGTTTACAACTTATAAACTAAACACTATAGCAATTTCGGATAACAAATGTCTCCATAATTTCCATACCACTGTATCTAGTTCATTTAATTTTTGATCATTCAACACTCTTCAAAAAGAGATTCTTTTGTCCCAATTTCATATGTCTTCGACAACACTGGGTGGGTGTAACACTTTCAATTTCCACCAGTGTATAATAGAAAGGTTAGAAGTACTGTGGAGACATACTATATTGATACTATCAATATCAGCAATAAACAAGTAATAAAATGCTGAACCTGAAAGTAGTCATTAAGTTTTAATAGATAAAATGTTTTTGAGACTAAAGTTTTTTTATCATCAGCTTTTGAAACACAAACTTTAACATTAAAAATGCAATTTTTTTAAAAATTTGATTAAACATTTGATTCTGATTCATATGTCAACTATGTTTATAGTTGACATATGAAAAATTTTAAATTGTCACTTGCTCATTATGTTAAATTCATATTTCATGATTTATATTTTACAGAATACAATAATTTATCAAATAATGATTTCAAAACTATATATTACAGTGTTTATTATTGATAAGAATGGAGTTGACTGAAGTCATTCGAAGATATAAAAGATTGTTTGATGGTTATTCTATGTAAGTTAAATAAAATTTCATTTCCAAACTTAAATTAGAAAACAAATGTACTAAAGCTATGTTTTTCAGATCTAGAAAGACATTTTTACTTATAATTATTATATTGGGATTAATATTATATCTTGGTCCATCTGGTTTTCGATGGGTTAGGAGGAGGACTCCAATAATGATAGGTATTTACTTTTAAATATTTTAAATTATTACTATAATTTAATTAAGTTTTAAATAAAAGATTTTGTTTAATTTATAAAAATGTATAATTTAAATAAATTTCATACAATCATGTATGGTAAAATTATTTGTAGGTATGTCTAAAAATTTTTTAGCATTTTATATTTAATATTTATAATTTAATTCTTATTCAGAATTGTGTAGAATTTGATCTAATAATAACAGCACAATCAAATTTATTATTTTTTGAAAATGTGTAATAAAGATTATAGTTGAGAATGAAATAAACTAGAATTTATGTAAAAATCTTTCTTTGCTTTTTATCATCACTTCAGACATTTCAAGCTGTTACATATTATCAAATTGTCAATCATTTATTTATTATATGTATTTGTTACTGTGAATGACCGATACCTGGCGAATGTCAACATTCTCCAGTGAATGTCAGCATTCACACAGTCGTTTCGTGTATGTACAAAATATTTGCTAAATATTATTATTTCTCACTTACACCGGTAAATGTCGACATTCAGCATGCACTGATGGTGAATGTTGAATAAAAATATTTTTATTACGTTAAGACAAAAACTTTTTAATATGTCAGAATAGGAGAAAACTTAAGTAACAGCACATGTAAATAAACTGTTGAACCTAAAACAAACAGTACATTCTTAATCATTAAAGAAAATAATGCAATAATAAACTTACACATAAATTATGTGATTAACGTTATACAATCTTATTTATTGCAACAACTTAAACTGTTATGGCACTTTGAATTGCACAAGAGTCCCTTGCTTTTACAACTGCATTTATTTGTGGAACACTTCTTTTTGCAATGACAATGTGTATAGCCTTGCCCTCCGCTTTTCAAATTAGCTGCAGCTGCTTCTCTCAGCGATATTTCTTGAGAAGAAATGTCATCTTTGGAAAGTAACTTTTCTTTACAAATTACAAACTGATTACGGGTATAAAGCTCCTTGAGGGTGCCATTTTTGTTTGTTAATTTATAAGTCTGAGTTTTCTATTCCAACAACAACTGCCAACACATTTTGGGCATCTGTACGGCCATGGTCGACATCAGGGACTTATATTCATACGGTATAACCAATTTGAACAGAAGGAAACGGCGAAGAATTTGGCGACAGACTGTCGCCTCTCTGTCGACATTGGCTTCTCGTGTGTTGTTTTGACCTCCACCAAAGCTTATCTGTGCTTGTTGACATACACCAGTGATTGTTCAAATGTATAATAATATAATCAAATATTTGGTCTTTCACCAATGTATTTTGTATGTGTCAACATTCACCGGAGAATATCAACATTCTCTAATTTCAGTCTTTCACAGTAACATATTCAAATAAATCATATGCTAAATAACAAAAGACTCATCAACACTATGTTTAATTTGTATAATTTAATTATAGCATGTTTCAATTTAATGGTTTATTCAAATAATACAAAAGTTCCTAATATTCATCACTAACAGTGAATTTAAAGTAATTAATATAATATAATATATCTTTCTATTACTGCATAGCTACTGTTATGCTGCAAAAGAAAGCTATTACAGCTTCAATACATCTTTATATATTTAATATTTTTTGGTAATGGTATGTAATATAAAATGCTATTTTAGTATTACACAGTAAGAATGTTTCTGATGATGTATATCTGCATTTCTTAATGTTTAAAAAACATACACAACTATAAAAAAATGTTTACTCATTTTTTTTATATTGTAATGTTGTTAAACTAAGTTACATATTTTATTTGACATAAAGTATTTATATCTAATTATGTAATCTTTTTTAAAAATTTAATAAAAATATTTAATAACATAAAAAGTTGCATGTACAAAATTAAAAATACAATTTTGCTTTTATAGACCCAAATATTGGATGTGTTTCTAGATATTTAGAACCTTTTATGGTAGAAAAAAGTCATTTTGATGCATCAATAACACAAAGTTATGATCAGGATGAAATGTCTTTTATGCCATATGTTGGTAAGTTGAAACATAGCATATAAAGTTTTGTCTGTATGTGTATTCTAATACAAAATTATTTATACAGGAGAAAAGTTTTACCAATTTTAATGAAATAATTAAATTTTAAATAAATGTCTTAATGATATGTTTATTTCTTTACAAAATATAAATAAAATATTAAAAATGAAAATGTGCAGTTTTATGAAAACCAAGAGTATTTCATTAATATTTCAGAAAATTTTAAATCAGTCAGCTACATTTCAAAACATACTTGCAAACAATTCAGAGATTATTATGATAATAAAGATAATAATAATATATTGATGCCTCATACATCAATTTTAATTTGTTCCAAGAAGCTGTTCAAAGTCTGAATCAATTTTCCCCATTAGAAATAATAAAAAAAGTGAATCAATCTGTTCTCAGACCCTAAAAAATACCCATTTTGGTAAACTTAAACATCAAATACACATAATTAATTGCCTTAAATAATAAATTAAAACATAAAAAACAATAAATAAAATCTGTAAATACTGTGTAACAAAATGAACATTATATTTACTATACTTTAGCAAGGACTGATAATGTCCTGTTTCTTAAGATCACTAAGCAGCTTGCTTGATTTTCTCATAAATAATCCACTTGGAGATGATATCACCATCTGATTGTCTTTCATTTATCCACACTAGGAGGAATTTTTCCATCTCAATAATATGTGATGTCCTGGAGGCCAACATTGTCACAGCATTAGCTTTTACTGCATCGTTGTTCTTAAGAATGGTACATACTGTTGACTTTGGTATCTTAAACATAGTCACAAGATCCACAACATATATATTGCTATCATGCTTTGTGACACCACACAAGTTATAGTTATGCCTGTGAATTGAAGTTTGGGAACAGTCTCATATAAAGTATTTATTATAAGGGATGGAGCTTAGGAAGTAATGAGAGTTGGTTGGGATAAATAATCACTAAAGATAATTGATTAAGCAATAAAACTATTTATTTTATGATAGGTTATTTAAACATTTGGACAGGCACATTTAACAATTTAAAGAACTCTACTAGCAAATATAATGGTTGCAAATCTAACTAAAATACAAGAAAGGCATATTATCAGAGAAAGAATTTATATTCAATTCTCCTGTTTCCCTTACTTAAATTTAACATTAAATTCCAACATTGAAGATAATCAAATTTTCAAAGTTAAGTTCTTAATAACTTTATATAGATTCCAAGTAGATGCTAATTCTTTTATAAAACTTCTATCCCACTGTGATAGAGATGCACTAGGAGATGGTTTTAAATGACACTCCTTTAGGACAGGAGACTCTCTCTATCTCTGATTTAGTGCTTGGTCACCAACAATGAATAACTGCAAGACTTCTGTGTCACTCATTTTTTTTCTTTTCAGAAATAAACAGTTCCATATTTAGCAATAGTTATAGGTTTTCATTCTCAAATCTTCCTATCAGATGATTTCTAGAAGTAGTGATTAACAAAACCAAGGAAAATATGCTACTCAAATGGGAAGTTGACTATCTGATAAAATTATATTAATTTCCTCCTAAAAATTGTAATGTTAGGCTTAACAAAAATGTTATAGAAATAATAATTTTACAAAAGTTTTACAAAAATGTTTACTAATTATTTAAAAGCAATCCTCACAAAATGACTCTCGATCCTCACACATAAAATAAAGTGAAAAATTCACTGAAAACAGATGAGCATAGCACAAGAAATGCTTTCACAGTGAGAGTGAGAGATGACTTGAACACACAACAGATGACTTTTTTTCACTGCATACACAGTTTGAACATAGAAACATTATTTGAACTTTGGGTAAAATTTCTCTGAATTTAGTGTTCAAACTCTGGAATGTTTGAAGTTAGTCATCATGATGGTTCCAAGTTTTGTGGAATTTTATGCTTTCAGGGATTATTTTTTGAATTTACTCTCTGATGTGCTTTTATAGATCTTATGTTGTGATAATAATAATTCCTAAGAATTTATTGTAAATAATNTAAGCCAATAGTTGTTTAAAAATCCATTAAAATATTTAAAAGTTAGAACACAATCAAAGTATTTAATTCTTTTTTTAACATTACTATTGTTATGATAACATTACTATTGTTAAAACTTAAAATATATATTTATAAGACTATTCAACAGATTCAACATTTATATACTAAAATAGCTCCATACATTTGGTATTTGCTGAATGCTGAGCAAATAGTGTAGTTTGGATGATTTACTCATGACTCTTGTTTGGTATTTGACATTTCCCACTCCTTGTTAGTAAATTATGCGGAATCAAAGAAAATGAATCTCAAACAAACATAAGCAGCATATTGATGTTGATTATATCATTACAACATCAACATAACAACAGTTAGGTTTAGAACCCAATTGCAAGCAAGATTATTACTTATTTCTTGGATAATATTAATTAACAGGTTTTCCAAGATTGGATGAAGAAGACCTGTATTAGATAGTAAGGAATGAACAACTTGATGAAATTACTCAATTAATAGTAAGCATTACAAGCAAATCTGGTAAACTTTCAGCTTTAGAAATAAAAATTATACACAAAATGACAATCTTGATGAATAGCAGATAAAATAAATAAATATGCTAAAGCAAAAATTATAATTTATGTAACTCAAACATAACACTCATAAATAAATACACACAAGTAAAGATTATAAATGCCAAATAAAGTTAAAATTATTTTATCATTTTTATATTTGTATATTTCTTGATATTTGTATTGAAAATTCTATATATAATATCAACAAAAATTTCCAAATAAAATGGATTTATTAATAAATATTAGTTGTTTTTATAAACTTTATTTATTAATTTTTTTCATACATTTTCTATTTTCATTGTTATTGCTTAATCCATCGTATATTGTACTGATATATAACTAACTACATATATTGCATATGAGAGCTGAGATCAGCTCTCATATACAATGTATGAAGTTAATTAATGAGACAACATAAACAGAAACAACAGATTTGTTTTAACTGACATTATTTACCAGCTCCATTTCAAAATATCCTTATTTCCATGTAGTCAGGACTAAGGAGGATGGGAGTGATCTGTATGTTGTATCTCAGTCACTATGTTGTCTCATATTGTTCATGATGCAAAGTGAAAACATGCTTTCAACTATGGTTGCTTCTGAACACGCTGTCACAAGCAACATAAGATATTTGCATAATATGGGCCATTTATGATGATACCATGTTCCAATGGCATGTTGGTAAACAATGCTCTCATGATCAAATATCACAATAATAATCAATTTACCTCATGAATTAACAGCTTTTTGCTTTCTTTGGAAGTAGTGAAGAAGAATGTTTCTATTTGCTGCTTTGCTATTTTGTGGTAGGATCATGGTAGTCCTGCCATGCTTCAGCTGGTGTGAAGATAGTTTTCTCACTGCATTTTCTTGGTATCAACAGTTTTTAGAATTCAACAAACATGAAGATGAGTAAAGTCTAAATGTGTACTCATGATTGCTTGCATACATCTGTAGAATTGTTTGTAGTTTCTGTAATGTTGTTCTAAGTCTTCTTGACAATGGTTGCAGTTGTAATAACATCACACTTCTGTTATTAATGTTGAAGGTCTTTCTATATGTGAATAATCTTCCAACTTTTCCATCCTTTATTGAACTCTTTTTCTAACAAAAATGCTTTCTATGCCATCATTTCACCTTGAAAAGCCTGGCTTAAAATAACATACATTTCTGTAACTGCATATAAAATTTAGTTGCTTAGTTCTGTTCCAATGATTTTTCTGCTTCAGACAACTAAATAACTGTTTTTGTAGGTGACAAGCAACAAGACTACATTTAATTGTGAAGCATACAGAATACCATGGACACATAATGCCATCCTTCCAGTTTTACTGTTTTACACATGACAAAACTTTGTTCCATTAAAAAAAATTACTCCTAGGCTTCATGTTACCCCTGTGCAGGTATTAGTTATATTATTTTTTGATCAGTCTCCATGTATTGCTGCAAAGTGGATTTTAGTAAGATGGACCTTCATCCAAAAGAAGGCGGCCATATTGACTCAAGTTATTGTAAATCANGAGAGTTGGTTGGGATAAATAATCACTAAAGATAATTGATTAAGCAATAAAACTATTTATTTTATGATAGGTTATTTAAACATTTGGACAGGCACATTTAACAATTTAAAGAACTCTACTAGCAAATATAATGGTTGCAAATCTAACTAAAATACAAGAAAGGCATATTATCAGAGAAAGAATTTATATTCAATTCTCCTGTTTCCCTTACTTAAATTTAACATTAAATTCCAACATTGAAGATAATCAAATTTTCAAAGTTAAGTTCTTAATAACTTTATATAGATTCCAAGTAGATGCTAATTCTTTTATAAAACTTCTATCCCACTGTGATAGAGATGCACTAGGAGATGGTTTTAAATGACACTCCTTTAGGACAGGAGACTCTCTCTATCTCTGATTTAGTGCTTGGTCACCAACAATGAATAACTGCAAGACTTCTGTGTCACTCATTTTTTTTCTTTTCAGAAATAAACAGTTCCATATTTAGCAATAGTTATAGGTTTTCATTCTCAAATCTTCCTATCAGATGATTTCTAGAAGTAGTGATTAACAAAACCAAGGAAAATATGCTACTCAAATGGGAAGTTGACTATCTGATAAAATTATATTAATTTCCTCCTAAAAATTGTAATGTTAGGCTTAACAAAAATGTTATAGAAATAATAATTTTACAAAAGTTTTACAAAAATGTTTACTAATTATTTAAAAGCAATCCTCACAAAATGACTCTCGATCCTCACACATAAAATAAAGTGAAAAATTCACTGAAAACAGATGAGCATAGCACAAGAAATGCTTTCACAGTGAGAGTGAGAGATGACTTGAACACACAACAGATGACTTTTTTTCACTGCATACACAGTTTGAACATAGAAACATTATTTGAACTTTGGGTAAAATTTCTCTGAATTTAGTGTTCAAACTCTGGAATGTTTGAAGTTAGTCATCATGATGGTTCCAAGTTTTGTGGAATTTTATGCTTTCAGGGATTATTTTTTGAATTTACTCTCTGATGTGCTTTTATAGATCTTATGTTGTGATAATAATAATTCCTAAGAATTTATTGTAAATAATGTATTTGTTTTAAAATTTTTAATTTTATTTACGTCAACAGAAATTTAATACTTATAATGTAAAGAAATATCTATATATATAAAAATGAATGTATGTGTGTGTGTCTGTCCTTCATGCATTACCACACCGCTTATCCGATTGCCGTGAAACTTTGGAAGTTTTTTAATACGCTCCCGCGAAGGTTTCTGGCATAATACATTTATCCTATGATAGATGGCACGCATGTATACGAGCATTTTACTGTGTGTTTGATCGATTTCAAATTGTAAAGACCATTTCCTTCCTCCAAAAATATCTCTATATATGCATTTATTTACAATATTTGTAATAATTTTTGTTTAATCACTTTATTTCAACTTTTTTGCTAATTATGTATTCACTCAAACTTTGTTAAAACCTTAACTGTATTCCGAACAACAACCAAAGTTGTAGAAGGAAATTAGCCTATTTTACCNTCTCTGCGAGTATGTGGACTAAATTTAAAGAATCTGTGCTTCTCACATGTACAAGTGTATGTGGCCAGCTCACGCGTTGGAAAACCTGATTTATTTGAGTACACACCAGACGGAAGATAAAAAATATCGTGTATCCACAAGCACTCCAATAAATAAATAGAATTGAAACAACGCTTTGAAATGTTTTTCCGATGAAAATTAATAATAATAAGTTTCAATAAAAATGATAAAATGTAAATTGAATTTTATCATAACGAGTTTGCTTGAATTTCGTTTCTTCTGAGATCGCAGCAATGTGCGACAGGTAAGCTAGTTTATATATAAAAATGTCATTAATATATTTGAAATTTTATATATTTCAGTAAAATATAAGTAATTTTTGGAACATCCTATATATATTATTCTGTATATTTATGTACAGTATAAAATATATTAAATTACTGGTGAATTCTATGCAAAAATTTTTTATAGGTAATGGAAAAATTGGGATTCCTATTGATTTTGAAAGTCCGTTATACATTTTTAACAAAAGATCATTATCCTTACCAATTTGGTTCCATCCAATAGTTAAAGTGGAATTACCAGGAACAAATAGTCAAGGTTAGATTCATTATAATCTAATAATTTTACATATGTGGTTAATAAATCATTTATTTATATTTGTACAATAACTTCACAAATGGGTTAATTATTTCTAAAAGTTGTTATAAAGTTTGCCATTTAGAGTAATTTTAAGCAATATATTTTATCATTTAGTTAATAATGTGTTTATAATTTTTGAAATATAAAAGCATAAATTTTTTAAAATAAATATTAATATTATAAATATTATTTATTAAGAAATTTTTTATATATATTAATGAGTATATAACATTCAAATTAACTATTACTACTGAAATTAAGGTATCACTAGTCAGAGCAATCTACAGTGAAAACCAACTGGCAAAACACTATCATTCTTACTTCTTAGTATGTACAAGTTCCAGATCATAGGAAAAAGATTTTGACATTAAGAAAAAATAGCTCAAATAGCTCACTGATAAAGGACATATGGTGGTTTAAGTAGAAAAAAGATTATAGAAGAGTGATCAGGATGGTTATGTGATTAGGAAATGAATTGTATTCAATGAAGAGTTTAATCAATGGATGTTATTGCATTCATTTCATACAATGATGAGGTACATAAAAGTTGTTAGATATCCGAAAGAGTTGATAAAAGCTGTGGGATTTGTCAAGGATGATTAGGTGCAATATACTACAGATTAGATACTTTATGGCTTAAACAGTATGCAAATTCTACCATCTTTTCCCATTCACAATGTCATATTTTAACTGTTGAAAACTTTTTATTATTTTTGTTAAAATCTCTTTCCTGTGATCTCAAAAGTTTATACATCAAGTATGGCAGCACCTACTGATTTTTTATTTTTATTTATTTTTTTCAGATTGCTCTGTTTATGGATACTTTAAATTGAATCATCTTGTATACAGTGCTATGATTTTTTGACAAATTTAAGAGTTGATTTAGATATTTTATCGTACTTGTACATATTAATTTCAAATAAAATTATTTTTAAAAAGCATTGTTTTAAACAACTCTGATTTCATGGAAGATTGTTAGAAATATTAATAGGATGACATATTTTTTAAGACTTGAATTAATATGCCAGAGAACATCTTTCATGAGAAACAATTAGTAGTCTTATGGTACACAAATGCAACACACAGTTTTGAAGTATCCAAATTTATTATATATTTTATTTTCGTTAATTAACATCTGTGTATTATCTTCAACAGATGTTACTGATTTTATACTTGTAATCAGAAGTATAAATTCAGTTGTAATAGAATTAATTTTAATTAATTATTTTAGCCTGGTCTGTAATTCTATTTGATTCAATAACTATGTTTTTAAATATTAAAATAGTTCATGCTGTCATTAGTTGTTATCTTTAACTCAGTTCAACAAAATTCTTATATAAATTTATACTGATATAACTTTACATTGTGAAAGTTTAATAATTTTTAACTTGGATCTATGTTAATTTGCAACATTTTCAAGCATTTCTGATGTTATTTAGTAGATTCAAATTGTTTGCAAAAATATACAACCTATTTAGAAATTTTTTTATTTGAAATAATTTATGAAATTACAAATATAGCAAAAATTTTTAATATCAAAATAATATTTTAACAAATTTTAATATATAATTAATATAGTCCTAACTTATAATTAAGCAAATGCAAAATTTGGCTTCTACAGTAGAACCTCGAAAACTCGGCCTAATGTGGACCGAAGGGTGGCCGAGTTTGTGAAAATGCCGGGTTATCGGGAATGGGGTTAAAAAAGGATAAGTATGCATTTTTCCTCAGAAAATACTGTACTGTACTTGTATGTATTGTTTACTTGAGAATATAACAGAGAATAAACTGCCCAAATACCCTTAAACAAAGGAAAAGCACGTCCTTTATGAAGGCATACAGCCTTTACTACATGAAAATGAAAATTAATGAATACACTGTGTACAGTAATTTACCTGATAAGACAGACCTCAGAAAAATACTTTATGAGAGCTTTTATACTTTTATAAAGCTGTCTATAATGAAAATTAATTAACTAAGGATTTTTTTGCCTTGCCAGGGTGTGGCCGAGTTATCCGGAGTGCCGGGTTATCGAGAGCCGAGTTTTCGAGGTTCTACTGTAATAACAGAATACTAAGGTTTATTATAGAAAATTTGTTCAGGGATTCTTCTCATGTTTTATTTAACAATAAATGGGTATAAAAGTAAAAAAATAACCAAAATGACAATTACTTCTAGTCAGCTTATGATGTTTAAGAAGAATAAATTAGTTTTTTTAATTTTGAAATCTTAGAACAAATTGCTTATGAAGCTTTACATCATTAAAACTTTTAATCAGTGATTTTTTTATTTCTAAATAGTAGAAAAAATTTTGTGATTTATTTGATTCTTTAGTTAATGATAAAAGTAATGAAGAGGCGTCAAACTTTTCAGTAATTAATTCTAAACTTACCTTACTATCAGCCAAGTTTTATATTCATTCAACTTATGAATCAACAAATAGTTCTTAATATGGATGTTATATTAATTGTCATTTATATATGACAACAAATATATCAAAACGTTGTCATAACAATTATTTAAAATTTTAAGATTCAAAAATAATGAATAATTTTTAAAAAGTATCATATTTTTACCTTATAAGACATGTTCTTTGTACAGTAGAACCTCGCTTAATGAGCATGATTCATTCCAGAATCGTACTCGTAATGCAAAACACTCATTAAGAGAAACAATTTTTCCCATAGAAATTAATGTAAAATACAATAATGTGTTCCATACTGAAAAAATACTCAAATATTTTATGTATAATGTTTATTCAAAGAAAATTGTACAATGTGCATTGTTAAGGAGCGTGAATCATCATCATCATTACTTCTAGCACAGAATGAACCAACCTGGAATGAGAATTTGATTTGCAGTTTGATAAACACTCCAAACGATATACCAAATTGTTGGGCTATGTAAAGGCTATAATTAAGTAATAGAAATTAATTAATTTGACTAGAGGTAAGCAGTTATGCTTCCATCTTGTATTAAATTTAATAATTATAAATAGTTAATTTTTTAATTCAGACATTTCTAAAATTTAATTTGGAATTGATCATTAAATTTAATATGAGATGGCAGCATAACTGCCTACCTCTAGTCAAATTAATTAATTTCTAATACTTAATAATAGCCTTTACATAGCCCAAGAATTTGGCATATCGTTTGGCGTATTTATTATATAACGGGCTATGGTTGTTGATGTTTAAAAGTAATATGTGTGAACACAAGTTTTGAAAAATATGTGATTACAAGTGATGCTAAGATGCTAGAAGAATGAGTGCTAAACACAGACTGATGGAGCATGTGCACGATTCGGGACTTTCCCTCTCCTTGTCACTTGTTATGCAAAACATTGCTCATTAAGCATGGCAATTTTTTACAATTTGTTTTGCTCATTATGTGAAACACATGTCATGCGAGGTGCTCGTTAAATGAGGTTCCACTGTACCTAAAATTTATCTGAAAATTAGGATGTGTCCTATAAGTCAAATATGTCTATATTCCCCCAAAAAAGTAATGTGAAAAATATGATGCATTTAATACAAATGACTTCTTTTATAAGGCAAAAAACATGGTAAGTTATTATACTGGGCCAAGATGTATAACGTTTTTTATAGTATTATTATAGTATTAATAATCTAAAAAAAAATTTAATTTAAAATATGTTTTAAACAGATGGGGTGGTAACTCAGTTTACAGCTGGAAAAGTTTATAAATTTCAATGTTTTAATAAAGTATGTATATTTAATATGTTTATCTTGAAGCTTTTTTCTCTTAGTTTATGAAGTTACAAATTCTTTTATTTCAGTATCGGAAAACTGTAAGTGTTGCAAGTGTTTTCTATGCCCATCGTGTTATTCCATCACTTTTAGTTCAAAAAATAACTGTCACAAATTCTTTAGTAAGTATTCATTTTTATGCATTTTATTTCTATAGATATTTAAAACTATAGTATAGTCCACTTATTGTAATCATTTTGGAATTTGCATATACTGATAATAATAACCAACTGATATAATTAAACAGGATACATAAACAGGATTACATTTTCTGAATTTTCTAATGGTAGCTGTTTATATGTTTATGAGTAACGTCTCTTCAATCGGGGGGAAGAAAAACTTCCAGTAGACTACCTCACAGCCAATTCAGGTTATAAAACTCCTTTTATTGCTTTGCTACAGATGCATTTCAAGCCAGGTTAACTTTCTAGCTCCTCTTCAGTGCTACAAAATAAATTTTACTTATAAAATTGGCAAAAAGCAATGCGAGTAGAAAATATATACAAAACATCTCTCATAATACCTTAAGAGTCTCCATAGGTTACAATGGCTTAATTTCACACTTACATGGTACTTTTAGTCCCATTTACAATGTTTTTATCAACACAAAGAATTATATTAAGGGAGTTTATCGTGTTATATCAAAAGGATGTACAGCTTGCTATACTAGTAATTATAAATTATGCTATTAAGTAACATTTTACAATAATATTTAAAAACTCTTAAAAAAGATAAATATACATACAGGTTTCTTACTAATTAAAAGCTTATTATTTTGAAAATTTAACAGTATATGTTGTATATCCTTTTAAGACCATTAAAATACAAAAAGGTTTTTCACAACAATGTATAATCTTTATGGTATAATTAACTAACTTATCTTTGCACCCTCTATTATGTTATACCATTGCTGGTCAATTTACATACCATCTGACACATTTATTAAATTATCATTATTGTATTTTATTATCTCTATGTGTTCTTTGAATTTACATTTATAAATGCCTTTTTCATAGTGTAGGACTTTAATATTATTCCTATCTATTTGGCAGTTGTTATTTTTGATATGGTTAAACCAAGGGGAATTATTATGTTTTAGTTTTATGGCAGCTTCGTGTTCTTTAATATGTAATTCTAAAGTCCTTCCTGTTTCTCCTATGTATTTTTTCGGATTTTGACAGTTACAATTAATTCCATAAACAATTTCAGTTTTTTTCAATTTATCAACGTTGGTTTTGTGTTTTCCTAGTTTTATGAATTTCATGTGAGCATAAAAAGACAACCTAAACAGGCCTATTGACCTGATCATAATAAGTATAACAAACTCTGGTTATAATAAGTAAAGTATATGTGATTTTAAGATCAATATTTTTCCAGAAATTTCATTATTCTTTGCATTTGATAATCATTTGTATTTTTTTTTTTATAAATGTAGTATTTATCTTTCTTCATATGTTTAAATTAATTTTTATCTAATTCTACAAAGTAATTTTCATTTATTACAAGTTAAAAAAATTATTTGGAGGACTTTGGATGATTTCTTTAGGTTGATGTTAATATAAGTTCTATTTATTTTTTTTTGTCTATAACTTTGATCAAAATAATTAATTGGTAATTTCACTTCTAACATAGAATGAAGATGTAATGTTAAATATTTATCAGAAATTAGAAAAAACCAAAACAACAAAAATTAAGACATTCAGGTAAGGTAATTTCATTATCTGAAAGTGTGTATAAAACTTAATTTTTTAAATTACTTTTGTTCAACTTAAACATTCTACATTTCATATTTTTATTTAAATTTGTCATTTAGATACATCATGCCATATAAGATTTTTTAAAATATTTTTATTTTCAGTATTACTGATGCAGTCAATATGATATCAAACCAATCACTTTTAATACAATAAATCAATTAATCAGTTTTAGAAATGTGCTTCCAAATTTTAGAAAACATTTAAATTTTTTAAATTTTAAATGCTGTAACATATAACAAAAAACAAACAGTCTAAATAAGCTATAAAGAAATATTATCTGTTTATAATTTTGTAATATTTTTTTTGTTTATTAAAATGATAAAGGGTTAATGTTTTAATCATTGTATTTTGTATTATAAAATTTTAAGGTTTTAGTTATAAAAATCAGTTAAGAATGTACTGAGTAATAAAACAATTTCATAACGTTTTTTATTAAGCTAATTTGTATGAAAAATTTTTTTATTTTAAATACAGGAGCTCTCTTACTTACAAACATTTAACTTATGAACTTTCAGACTTATGAACAATTTGACCGTACGTCTAAAATTTAAAATTTGTTTGGATTGTGAAGTTCTCTTGTTGCTCCTGGAGTGCATTTGTAGTCTGTTTTTGGCCAGTAATAAATAGAAAGTTTTTAGAAATAAGCCCACATGAATTATTCATTATCACATATCATAATTTTTTCTTTTTGCGCAAATTCTAAGGTTTCATCACCACTTATTGAGGTGGTGTTGAAGTTGGTAACATCAGAGAAATGACATTTTTCACTGCAATTTTTATAAACTTTTATGATTAGTGTTTAAAAGATGCATTTATAACATAATAGTAAATTTAGCAGTGGAGATAAATGCAAAAAGTGTTGCTCTATTATTGTGGAAGCTAAACTGGACATTATAAAATGAAGTGTATTAGGTGAGAAAAGCTGAATTTGAAACACCCATTATTAAGCAGTATACTGACTGGGTAAATGAACATAATGTATTCTAATAAGTACATTGAAGAATCAAACACTAACAATAAGTGGTTATTCTGTGTACAAATGTACTTTTTAGGTTAGTTTTTGCCCTACAAACATTTTAACTTACAACAAAACCTTGGGAACCTAACCTGTTCATAAGTAAGGGAGCATTTATATAATTCTTATAACAAAATTAAAATGATAATGATGTTTTTGTTATATATATATTCATAAATCTATTGTAGTTACATTCTGAACTGATTGAAATGAATAACATTTTTAGAAAATTGTTATAATTTGGGAAAATGTCAATCATAAAATATCTAAAATTAATCTAATGAATTTTTTTGTCAAGTAAAACTTATTAAAACACCAAATTACTCAATACTTTGAATTTTGTTTTTAGATATTTTAATTGCCTATATTGAAATATAATCTAAAAAGTTATTAAAATAATATATTAAATTATTTTTACAAAACATATTTCTGAGGAAAACTCAATAATAATAGATGTTTCTTTTTAAATAATTTTATTCATAAAATAAATTCACTATAATCAAAAATTCATATTATTTTTTTGTCATTTTTATTTAAGTGTAGCACAACAAAAGAATGATTTGGAGTACATTTTATCAACAGACACTGTAGAATTTGTTGATACATCTAAGAAGAATAAAATTGTAGTTGTGGCCATTGCTTCACCAAAACTTCCAGAAATACTAAAAGTTGATGCAAAACAGTAAGAAAAATTTTAATTTTATTCCTTCATATTTCATCATTTTAGTTAATTTTTCAATAATGTATTTAATTGAATAAAATACAGAAGCAGATATAATATTTCATAATTGTACTATTAAATTATACATTGTTTACTTAAGTACTATGAATAAATAAGTTATAATTTACATTTTTAGATTTATTTTTTTGTTACATTGTTAATTAGTTAATATTCTATAAATATTACGATAAACTCACAATTTATATATTAATATATGCATATTTATTATATGCAATAATATATTACTAATACAATTTTTTGTCATTCTCAATTACAAATTTTTAACATTTATTACTAGAAGTAGTTAATGTTCGTGTAAAATACTAACAAAATAAAAACTGATTACTTTCTACAATACTCTGTTATAGAGGAAGTTATGCTCAAATTTGCTGTTTATTTAATGTCTTTCCAATGTAGATTTGAATTAAACATGATAAAGCTTAATTATAATTACAGTAAAAAAGAAATAATTTACACTGAATTTTCTATAATGGATTGAAAAACTGAGAGATTACTTTCCTAAGAATCTTTTTAAAAAGATAATATTGAATTGAGATATATATTTATCTTTTATTGAAAATCAATTGAAAGCTTATATTAATTATTTTAAAGTTTTGTTACAAAAATAATAATAAAATATTTTTACAGATCTGTTACAATAATAGTCAGAACAATTGTACAATATTCTAGTCCCATTAATCAAGATAAATATGATTCCAAAATAAAGGAATTAGAAAAGTTAATCCATGAAGTATGCTATTTTTCTATTTGATACATTTAATTATAAGATGAATTAGAAATTCTAATTGATAATTTAATTTACAGGATTTGAAACAGTCTCTTCAATTACCGAATCTAGAAGAAAGACATAGCAAGATTTGGCAACAGGTATTAAACATAGAGATTTTAGTGTAATATATAGATATAAATATTTAAGTATAAAACTTTTTTCAATGATCTTTAGTTTTGTAATTCATAACACTATGATTTACTTTGCTTACTAATTTATGATGAATTAACTATAATTTCATGTGGATAATCTATACTGGCATATACCTCAAATAAAATTGTTAGAACAATACCTGTACCATATCATATACCTTTGACCTCCAAAATAGCTATTGAAAGCATAACTTACTTGTATTCAGTTTAGAAGATACCATCTCAAACATTAAAACATTGTTTTTTATGTTTTACTTCCTTTAACAATTCATTGTAGATATTCATAAACAACCAAGCCTGGATATTCTATAATAATCAGGTCATCAATACTTGATTATTTAGGCTACATTTTGGTAACTATTAATAATTAATATAAAATAATTTGCTTTAAAGATAAGCAGTTAGACTGCTATCTTATACTAATATTAATAATTACAATAATTTTTGAATTAAATTTAATTTAAAAATTTTATTTGTTCTCCAAATCAATAAAAAAAAAAGCTTTTAGGCCAGATTTTTCACTTGTGTCAATGATATAAAACTGAATGACCCAGCAGTTCTTTAATCTGACTTACATTTGCTATCAACCTTATTTGCAAGGGCAAACCTTAAAATCAACATTAATAAGACTGTCATGTGCTTCTCATTGATTTGGAACCTTCCTCTTTCTCCATTTGTCATTGATGCCAATATTCTGGAATATGTTTGTTCCTACAATGATCTCGGCATTATATTTGACAATAGATTAACTTTTCATTTTCATGTCAATGAAATCATTAAAGCACTAGCAATTTTACAGATAGGTTTGCAAAAATGCCATAAAATATCTCATCTAAATCTGTTTTATGATTCTATTTTTTTGAGAACTTACAATTTATTGTTGATTATTGCCTGCCAAGAAAAAGAAGACACGGTTTTGACAAATAACTAAATCAATAAGATATATTTATTGTTAAATAAACTAAGTAATTTACCATTTACTACAATCCAAACGTTGCAAGGTTCAGGCTAGGTCTTCCCAATATACATGAAAGAAGAAAATACTATGATCACATACTCTATTGTAAATATTTTAATGGTTTTATTCTGATTTCCTGGCTTTGTCTTAGAATACACATGACACCACCACTTGTATTTTTACTCCTTTTTACCACTTACCTATTTCACATAGATTTTTTTTCTATTGTGTAGCTGGAAACACGAATAATGTAGAAGACATGCTTCATGTCGATTTTTTACATTATAAAACATCTTGTCAATGTTTTATTAGAGTGGTTGCAGCTGAAGTTTTCATCTCTAAAATGTGAACGTTGAACATCAAGCGCCACTTACAAGATAGCGACGTTTGATGTTCACGCTTTAGAGATTAAAACTTTGGTAACAACCTTGCTATTATATAATTATTAGTGGTTTATAAATGCAACTTTATTTACATATTCTATTGCATTTCAATTCTTTTGAGCTTTATGCAAATGAATTCTCTGGCAATATCCTGTATTCCGGTTCAGTTACTATATTGTTTTTAAATTTTTATGTTTTACTTTTAGCATTATACATATTTAATATTTTAAAGAATTTTTGTGTATTCTGTCTTATGGTATATAAATAGTTTTTTTTTTCATTTATGTTTTATTATGACGGTTGATTTTTTTCATGTATTTTATTTATTTTTTTTTTTTTTTGTTATGAGTCTTGTTATTTATCAGAGAGATCTACTGTCCATCAACATTTCTTAATGTAGATGAAATAAATAAATAAAATACAGTAATACTTTGGTTTTTGTTGACTTCAGTTATCGTTGGTTTTAGTTTTCGTCAATTTTTTTCATGAAAACTTTGTCTCAGATTTCGTCAGTGTGCCCAAGTGACCTCGCTTCTAATTTTGCGAAAACAAAGGGCAACCCATGCGTTTTCCAGCTGTTTGGTGTTATTTCTCATTGTGTGAGCATTACCCTGTGATGATCCACGATTGGTCAATGATTCTGTTCCCTGAACACCGGGAATTCAGTCATGGGTTTGCACTTTGCCAGGATGGGTTGGCCATGTGAAGTGTTTTGGATTTACTCCACGTCTGTAATGTCTGAATAGGGGCCAGTTACTCTTAAAAAATCTGGAAGGCATTATTCCTCATGATATGACCATCATAAATGCATACAATTACAATTACATGACAATTATGTCACACTTTACCACGGGGCAAAATAGGTTAGCAGCTCATGTCCAACTAGCTTCTACAAGACATTATCCTTCATGTCTAGCCAAACAATTCCATTGCTTTCCTTTAGATTAGTCTTTTATATTAATTTCTTATTACTTTTAGTATTTTACGCTATATTTATTCTCTATAAAATGTGTTTTTGGTATGTATTTTGGAGTGTCTAGAACGAATTAATTGGATTTACATTGATTCATATGGAAATACTTCGCAGATTGTTTTCGGACGGATTATCAACAAAAACCGAGGTATCACTATAGTTTGTTAGGCCAGATTTTTCACTTGCCATTAGTGAACAGACGAGAAATTTTGTAAGTCTATTTTAACTAAAGATAGTGAAATTTCTGTTTTGTTCCAATTGTGTTGATTATAGCAAAATATTTCAAATTGGCTTATTGGATAATAGCCATGTTTAAAATTATTTATGTTAAATATAAAATGTACATAATAATGATAGTTTAAGAATTTTTTTTGCAGCATTTTTTAATTTCATACTAAGACAGAAGAAACCAACTAGAAAACTAATGCCAAAATTGTTAATTGATCAAAAAGTACTGCAAAGAACAATTTGCTTTGTGATCTTGTGCATTTTTAAATGCTGATATATCTTGATTTTAATTATATATTATACTATATCTTTGAGACAAGTTAAAATACTAGAATATAACATATCTGTTAGCTACAAGAAGTAATACTACAGAATTTCATTTATATAAATTTAAGTTTAAATTAGAAAATGTTTGTAGCAATATTGTAACAGCATGGAAGAACTTAACCATGAGAAATTATTCTAATTAGATATTCGATGGAAAGAATGTTTTGGGTTTGAAACATCAGAATAGAATGTTTTGGAGGATATTCACATTGAACAACAGAGTTGCATTCTTGGGTTTTGAGAAAGGGGGAGAAATGTTTTTCTTCTGACTGAAAAAGTTCTAAAGTCCAGGTGTGATGGACATATATGCCAAGTGGTGTTGAACTGTAGTTGGGGTCCTGAAACCTAATGTTCTGTTCAGATGTGGAACTATTCAAGATAGTCATATCAGAGGTTTATGTGTGCTTTGAGATTGCTGTGTTTTCTTGTACGTGTTGTTATGATGAACCTGTGTGGTACTAAATTAAAATTTTTCTTATAAAAATAAATATAAAAGTAAAATTGTAACAAAATAGAAATTATATGCGAAGTTACAATTTTATTTTTTTAATATTACAATTATTGTATTTGTGTTTGAATTGATAATTACTTATATATTTATTCAGTTATAATAATTTATATTATTAATAGCTGCATAAAAAATACATTATAAACAGTAAAAGTTAAATAAACGTAATGTTATATATTGATATTTCTACATATGAAACATTTAAAATTTTTTACTTTCCCAGCTGTTATATATAACAGAGGGAATGTTTGGCAATCAATCAAAAAAATGATTTTTACACTTTTAGACTCAGGACACTTTGAAACACCAAGAAATGCAGAAAAATTTGGGGATTTTTCTGTATGTATGTATGGATGTTAATGTATGATAGTTTTGTTCACCCTCTTTCAAGCTTAATAACTCCTGTGCTTTTTGTCAAAAATTTTTGAAATTTTGCAGGAAGGTTTGCTTATTAGGGGAATTGATGCCAATAAATTTTGGTGATTAAATGTCAAGGGGGTGGGAAGATAAATGGTCTCGTGTATATCTCCAGTAGGGTCAGACTTAATGACAATTTTACTTGTTATTAGCATTTACAATTTTGTATGAAACCCATTCATATCCTCAAAATTAAGCTTTTTGCTACTTTATAATAATTAAAAATATAAAAGATTTTTTAATAAAATATGATAACTGGATTTTTTCTTTTGTTTTGAAACTATTATTTTCTGACTGTAAAATGTTGCACTAAAGTCATATAAAATAACTACACTATATTATTATTCTCAAATTTTAATTTATGAATATAATATACAGTAGAGCGTCGGTTATCCGAAAGAATTCCAGTCGGCAAATTTAAATTTTTGCTAGTGCTGTGGCGCTGCAATCTTTGGCTATATCTTGGGCTATTCCAATATTTTTTTTGTTGATGTGTGTTTTAGCTGGCAGCACCGGCACTTTTGTGTGGTGTTTTTCTGAGGACTGTGTGTGGTGCTGAATCGAACGTTTTTGATACTAGATAACTTCTAAAGCATAAATTTTTTTTTGTTTTTATATTTTTCAATATATTGAATACAATCGTACCCAGCAAAAATAAACAAATAGCGTAACCAACACCTTATTGCTTGCTGAGGGAGTTTTATTAAAATCGAACGTTTTCGATCCACTTAACGGATCATCATCAGGCTAGAATATACGAAAATGGAATACATCATAAATGGAACAATAAGTTCAAAAATTCAAAAATATCAATAAACTGATAACATATCAATTAATAAAAATAACAAATAAATTGTAAACGATATCAAATAATAAATAATATACTGCAACGATTAAACATTAATACTAAGTTTCCTTTAAATCAAATAAATATCATATTTCAGTTGATGCGCTACTTGTAAGCTACTTAACGGCAAATTTCCAAGCCGAGGAAAGACCTTCCGCATCCCTAGCATTAATGCATCCGTCTTTAAGTTTGCTCCTGTATATCTACATTTTTTCGGCCGTCCTCGCCAAAGTTGGTGAGTGTACTTGTCTCACGACTTCCGCTTCCTCGCATCCAATCAGGGATCCTTGGGCCTGCGCCATCTGGGCCAATATTGTTGTATTAGACCCTTTTCTAGCATCATACTTGTGTTCTCTAATTCTTACCCCGAGGTTTCTGGTAGTAACTCCTACGTAATCTTTTTTTATTCCTAATAGCTGGTTCTCGTAGGGAATCTATGTTATGAAGGAAATTGCAAGCGTTAAAGATTCAACGGTGATTTTGAAAAGAGCTCCCAATTTATATAAAATTCTTAGAAACAATAAAGGGGTTATTAAAAAAGAAGATAAGGCAGGTGTTTACAAGATTCCCTACGAGAACCAGCTATTAGGAATAAAAAAAGATTACGTAGGAGTTACTACCAGAAACCTCGGGGTAAGAATTAGAGAACACAAGTATGATGCTAGAAAAGGGTCTAATACAACAATATTGGCCCAGATGGCGCAGGCCCAAGGATCCCTGATTGGATGCGAGGAAGCGGAAGTCGTGAGACAAGTACACTCACCAACTTTGGCGAGGACGGCCGAAAAAATGTAGATATACAGGAGCAAACTTAAAGACGGATGCATTAATGCTAGGGATGCGGAAGGTCTTTCCTCGGCTTGGAAATTTGCCGTTAAGTAGCTTACAAGTAGCGCATCAACTGAAATATGATATTTATTTGATTTAAAGGAAACTTAGTATTAATGTTTAGTCGTTGCAGTATATTATTTATTATTTGATATCGTTTACAATTTATTTGTTATTTTTATTAATTGATATGTTATCAGTCTATTGATATTTTTGAATTTTTGAACTTATTGTTCCATTTATGATGTATTCCATTTTCGTATATTCTAGCCTGATGATGATCCGTTAAGTGGATCGAAAACGTTCGATTTTAATAAAACTCCCTCAGCAAGCAATAAGGTGTTGGTTACGTTATTTTTTCAATATATTTATTTTGTTTGTAAAAAATAAAGAAATAATTTTTAATGATACAATAGCCATGATTATTATTTTAAAAAGTTTACATTAGGCTTAACATCGACGAAAATTCAATGCGAAGCGACACGCAACGGAGAAAAATTTTAACATGGCATATTTTTTCATACATAATCGGTTATCCGAAAAATAAGTTATCCGAACAACCCCAGTCCTCAATTGATTCGGATAAACAACACTCTACTGTATATATATTTTTATATATGTAATTTGCTTTTAAAAACGTGTTATATTAATGGAATCTTTAATAATAATTAAATTCAATTAGATTGCTTATTATATTGACACACAAGTTTTCCATATATTTTCTTTGTTATATGAATGTCATAAAACTATCTTTAATTTCTGAAATTTTTGTGATTATAAATTTTATCAAATTATTTATGTAACAAAATAGTAAGTTTATTTTGTAATTTAAGTATCAGTTGAATAAGATGGATTATTTTTATGTGATTAAAGTTATGAGTCTGAAGAATGTTTTAATGTTTTAACATTTCTAATTATAGAGTATTAATAACATACTGTAATATGCATTTTTAGCATGATTTATTTAAATGTTTTCATATTTCTTCTGAAATTTTATTTTTCTTAATAGTTATGGAATACAGGCTTTGGTATTAGTTACTCCAAGGCTCAAGATGTCTTAAATGGTGATAAAATAAATGCCACATTATATTATGTTCTTTCAAATAGTAGAGCATATTTATCAGAATATAGTACGTCTTCACAGACTCGACAAGAGTTGAACTATCTTCTTTCAAATGGAAGGTCATGTTATGGAGCAAATGTTCCTACTCTGTAAGTTGATTAAGAATGTAAATCTTTAACAAAATCTATCAAGCTTTTTAATCAATAATTTATTTCTTTAGACAAGCAAAATCTCTTTGGTCTGATTTAAATACAATTGAAAAAATTAATCAAGTAGTTTCTCTGTGGCTTTTGACACTTGATAAAAAAGGATGCCATAACTTGATTTCAGCAGGTAATGCATTATTTTATTAAATTTTTAATTAACTGAAAATTTTTAATTTAAACTTGATAAAAACTTTTTTTAGGTGCAGAAGGTGTCATGCAAGCCATGGTGCTAAGTTTTGGTGCTTTGTTACTTACTGACCTCCATTTGGAATTTAACACACATCCTAGAGAACTCCATCGAGATTATTTTTTTAGGCATCTGAGGTACACAAATGTCACACACTTTAATATTAGTGTGATTGTAGGTGATGACAACAAAGCAGTAATTTATGTTGAAACAGATGACAGTGATAAAGAATATTATGCATGTGATGCTGGATGTCTGGATCCTTCTGTTAGACTCAAGTAAGTTATGATATATATAAGTAAAAATATGAAGAAAATGAAACTAAAATACATAATACTTGGTTTCATTATTTATTAAAAAAATCATTTGTACAGAATGAAATGAGAAAAAATAGTAATAAAATTATCTTTTTGGTTTATAAGTTACTTCAGTTAAAGATTATTAAATAAATTACAATAAACTGGCAAGTATAAATATACATTGGATATAAATTTTATATTTTAACTTGTCTAATTCTCAGAGGCAATCAATATGTGTAAAAGCTTGCTAGATCGATATGAAATGAAATTCTTTATAAATTGATACTTTCTCTATTTGATTCTTTAATGCAATTCTCAAAATATGTTTAATTTTATTTCATGAAGTCTTGTTTTTCTTTTGGTGTAAATGTTTTTAGAATTTGAAATTTTATCTTTAGAACCTTTTCAAAGAATTTAATTTTAAATGAAATTTTACTGCAAATGATAACTTATATTAGCTATTTAAGCAACATAATTTACCTATTTTATAATAAAATAAACACCCATTAAAAAGAATATTGCTATTTGTTTTCATATTCAAATTTTGATTTGTTTAAAACTTAGTAACAAAAGTCAAAAGTAACAAAAGTTGGTTATGATTTATAAATTTTGAATATCTCTAATCAAACTGATTTTTATATTACAACATTACCTATCATTATTTATTTCAAGGAAATTATATGAAGAACTATATCATAACAGAATTATAAATTTAAAAATTTAATCATTCTTGTTTGGTACTAAGAGGAGCTTCTCTGGAAAATGATCTCATAAATTAATATAATCTCTTATCTTACATTTAATTGATGTTTACTTCTATAATGGGTGTGGCCAACAAGTCAGTTATGTCATTATTTTTGCTTTGTGAGATAATGAGCGATCATCTTTTTTTCTATTTGTGGCACAGTGAAAAGAGCATATGCAGTTACTGAATGAGAGAAATGTGAAATGAGGGTTGGTATGACCGCATCCACTTGTCCAGGATGGCTATGATATGTTTACCCAAACTTAAAGAAGACTAAAGATCATGAGACCTTAGTCTACATCAGTTCTGACACCAGTTAGGATAAGTAACACACTCGTCCTAACACGCGATTAAATCTATCTTTACTTGAATGTCCAAGTGGCAAGGCAACATCTAATAACTACTTGTATTCAAGTGGCTAGTGTGATCCAGATCTGAGTGGTGGAGGGGTCTTGTTGATTTGCAAGATATAGGGGTGAGACAAATCCACTGAAATAAGCTATTTATTCATTAAATGTATAATCTGGATTTAACATATAAGATATATACATAGCATAGCAAGTACAATATGAATGCGTAAAATGCAAGCTAAGTAAAACTAAAATATAACAATGATAACTATTGGCTAAACCAGGGAATATGACTGCCAACTGAGAGAGCTTACATAGATAAATATACTACCTGGGACATCATGAGAATCTTGTCTTCTTTTACTTTAGACTTTTACATCTTAGTCTGAGCTGGAGACCTATTGTCAATCAAAACTTCTTCTTCCAAGAACGTCAGTCTATGAGGCGTTAAATATACTTGAAATTATTTTAATTTACGAGCGCTTTCGACGTAAATAAGCACGTCGTCTTCAGGTAAAATTAAATTCAAATAAAGAATTTGAACCATACATTTAAATTTAAAACATTAACGATACTAGCCGTTTTTGAACATACAAAAAAGATTTTAAATTTAAATTTTTAGAATTAAACATTTAAAATTGGTGCGCATGCGTTTTAAAACAAATAAACATCGATTGGAGTGGCTATTAATTATTTTGTGAACGCGAAAAATTGGCGCACGTGCACCTTAACATGCATAACATGAGAGCCAATTAGATGTCTATTAAGAACAATTAAATTTTTAGAATTTAAATTAAAACACTTTGTAAATACGTATAAAATTTTTGGCACGCATGCGCCTTAACATAGACAGCATAGAAACCGATCGGAATAGATCCACAAGTGCAAGTTTATGTTAAAATTTAAATTTTAAATATTAAAGCGCGGGACATAATTTAAAATACATAACACACGTAAAAAGACGCACATAAAGGGGCCGACATGTATGTGCTTTGAATCATGTAGGAGGTGCGGGAAGAGAATGCAAAATTATTGTTGGTTTTTTAACCGCCTGAATAAATTAATCCAGACGTCCGGTAAATCGAGGGTAGGGGTGTTGCACGGGGAGAGCAGTTTTGTGAGGAGGGCCTCCCAAATGTATATCAAGTTCCCTTCATCACAGCGTTTGAGTATTTCCACTCGATTCCAAAGCGCTACGTGGTGGTGTTGTATCACCAATTTGGAAAGTTCCGTGTCACAATTGCCAAGTGCCACCGAACGTTGGTGTTCAGATATGCGAGCAGC